ACGTGCCTTGACCTTACGGTAGACAAGGTCGAATTTACTGTTTATAAACTTCAATCTTCCATGAATCTCATACGGTAAATGTTATTTAATACTTTTTATCATAAACAGAGCATTTGCTTAAATACTTGTATCTATAAATAACAACGTTAAACATAAAAATGTCTTTAATAAATAAATTGTCGGACCTTGTCCATTTCTTAAAATATGACGTCATTTGTTTACATTCGATACGCCAGAGCAGTTATGAATGTACGAGATTCCTGGAAGATTAAAGTTTATAAACAGTAAATTCGACCTTGCCTACCGTAAGGTTCTTTGTGGCCGAGCGGTCAAGGCACGTCATCGTATATGACGGTTCCGTATAGGATGCAGGTTCGAATCCTGTCAAAGAACGAATATTTTCTATGAAAATTTCTCGGACATTCAGGCCGGTAAATGTTATTTAATACTGTTTATCATAAACAGAGCATTTGCTTAAATACTTGTATCTATAAATAACAACGTTAAACATAAAAATGTCTTTAATAAATATATATATATATATATAAAGAAAGAGGTTATAGTGGTTCCAACGAGAGAAAAGTGTGTATATTAAAAAGAAGAGAAGAGAGGTGCCGCAAACGTTTTTGGTTGTAATGTGGATTTTTTTTTTTAAATCTTATGCTTTATTTTCCATAATTTTACTACACGCGTTTCTGGTCTCGTGACCGTCTTCAGGTAAAAGGCGGAGATTTCCACATATTATTAAAAATAATTATTTTTTTTCAAATATATATATATATATATATATAATTCTGTGATATCCGTTAGTCTGTCTACATGCTTTTCGATGACGCTTTAATGTGCATTCATTGTTTTTTAAGAATTCTAAAAGTCTAATACCCTGACAGTCTCGCCACACACACAAAATTGCATTCCTTCGATGGAGTTCAGCTTTCGGGATCGCTTGTAAAAATATATCCATGTCAGTTTTTTTTTCCATTTTTATTATTATCGCTAGATCATCCACAGTAAATTTGCACTTAGGCTCACCATTCACCATTCCTGTGAGATCTTCTATTATCACATTGTGCGAAATCTAATAACAAAAGTGATGGAAAGAAAAACAAAAAGAATGAAATCGGTGAGATTATAAACACAAAGCATAAAAAATAATTTTAAATTCCCAACATCTCTCATTCGTGCGTATAAAGCCAGAGACGGATATGTGACGTGATCGGTCCTGATCTGGCATATCGTCTACAATCACTTTCTCACAGACATGCCGTGGCTTCCCTCTGTCTTTTCTACAAGTTATTTCACGGCAATTGTTCCGACGCGCTACTTTCGCTGGTTCCCAGACTGCATGAATTAAAGCGAGCAACTAGCTTGGCATCTTGGCCCGAACCTTTCACTGTCGAAAAGTTTAAATGTAACCGTTTCTCCTACTCCAACAGCTTCTCTTGCACTTCCCGTCTGTGAAACTCCCTTCCTCTTGTTTGCTTCCCTGATAACTATAATCTTCAAATATTCAAGTGTAATGTCAATCGACATCTTCTAATGCCTTGATCTTGTTCCCCGTCCTTCTCTTTATCCTTTCCTCAAACATGCCTCTTTACTCTTGTTTTCAACCCTCTGAAAACCCTGGCGTGCTAGTGGCACTCCTGCTTGGGGTGAAATGTTTAAAAATGTCTAGCTGCATTAACTTAAACACAGTTCGATAAATATTCCGAAAGGATGAAACGCGTCACCCGAAAACTTTTTCCACTTTGTCATATATGTTTACCCCCAAATAACTTTTGATATATAAAAATTAATACATCGTCATCCCACATTGCACTCAATTGCTGTATGTAACAAATTTTTCATCACTTAATATCATTGTTGTATGTAACAATTATTTAATCACTTGTTATTATATATTTTTCATCACTTGATCGTTGGGATGATAAATTCGTCATTACATTTGGTTTCAAAACAGAAAATTATTTATGATTCAACTTAGTATTTGTAGTAGAATACGCTTCATTCTTCGGACAAGTTTCTTTTCGGAATTTTAGGGATTTGAATCATCATCATTATATGATTTGCTATTGGAAACAGAATGATTATCTTGACTGTTATTCTCATAACTTTTTGGCCGTTGTGCTCTGCGATCTTCTCCAGATGTCTGTCTTCGTACTCAGTAGCTTTTAACCGAACTCTTTATTCAATAAACGATGACAGATTGTTCTCTCCCCGCTTTCCATGCTTAGGGGAGATAACTCTTATCAGTTTATACTCACTAGTCTTATTCGCCTTTAAGTCCCTTGTCTGTTTCTTCCACTGATTTCAATGCGATTTTTCAGCACTACCAGATACAAGGATTGAACCCACAGCATCCAGAGAACCAGATTCTGTTTTTTGTTTGTTTGTTTTTACATGCAAGTTTTTCTTTCTTTTCTGTGTCTTTCATTGTTCTTATTTTTGTTGGCATTTTAACACTCACTTTGCTCTTCTGAATTCGTTCTCCACTCCGTCAGATGTATTTCGTATTTTCCAAGAGTTGGCTGAATATACGTGTATATTTCATGTTAAATTATACTAATGAAACACTTAAAAAAATCTTCCGTGACTTTCAGTTTCAAACTGATCTCCAAATCTAGGCCAGAAGAAAGGATCTACTTGTCCTATACAAAACGAACATGGCCAATAGTGGATTACGGAGAGCATAGAGTAAATCATAGATAAGCATTTCGACCTTGTCAGAGAGCGGAGAAAGATCTAGAACGTAAAAGCAGATAGTTATCGAGATGCTAAATGCTAAAGAGGCGGAAAAACGGACGGGTAAATTGGAAATCAAAGGATGAGTACTTATTCATAAGGATAATGTTGTTGAAAACAGACTGTGTCCTAGAGTATTAAGGAGACTTGTTGTCACTTTGTCTTCAGTGTAAAACATCAATTAATAATGGCGTATACACCCAATGAATGTAAAAATAATAATGATGATAATAAACCATATCATTTTTTTCTTTAAAGCCATGTTCCATCATGTCGATCATGGCTCTCTACAGATTCTTATTCATTGTATTGTGTCCCTTCAGGAAGTGAGTGCTCATGGGTCTTCATAAGCAGTTAGCTCTTAGTAAGTTTTTCCTTTTTGCTTTCATTTCCAATCAGCTAACCATTTACACAAGTTCATTAGTTAGGTTATCCACTGCTTTCCCCTCTGTCTTTTGTCTTCTATATATCCTGAGAGTGTCGAATTCTCCAAGCCTTCAATAAGCCCTATAAATTTTAGTGTCGCATTTTCCATCCTACGTTAAAATACTTCTCAGATACTTAAGCTCCTTTATTTGTTTGATGTTGGCATTTCTATTTATTATTTTGCATCTTCGGCTATTTTTTTTTCTTTTGCTGACAACTTCCTGTCCTCTTACCGTTGACAGTTAGTCCTTTCTTCTCGCTTAGGAAGTCTTGTAGTTTTCTCGCTGTTATTTACATTATTTACATTGATCGGTGTCATCTTTATTGTCATATTCACGACGTACCGGTCATGGTACTCTCCGGCCTTCTTCAGGTGATCGGAATTTCGAAATGAACCCATTATTTCGTCCAATGTTCTAGTTCCATGTGCCATGCATCTTCCAGATGTCTCACTTATCTCCCTTTAACTGAACTCTCCAAGTTTGTTTTTTTCACCACTGTAGTAACTAGGTATTGAATTAACAAACATTAGGTCAAGTCACTGGATCCAACCAACACTTTTATTTACTGGACCATGCCTCCTTGAGGAGGGCTGGAGCGTACAACAGCCGAAAAATCTTGGATATGGCAATAAAGATGAGGAAGACTGTCCGAACAATGTAAGTAGTGTAAATAATTATAATACCTCATCTCAGAAATATAGACAGACTTTTCTCACTCTGTTTACTATCAAGAGAGTGTCATTTGCGCGTCTTATGTTGTTAGATTACGCCCAGTGTTAGGAAATCCTGATTGGGTCTCAAGAACCCTTAGGACAGACTCGCTGCAAACGTTAAACAAATCCTTGTCTTATGCTTTTTTATATTTATGTGTACTTTTTTTTATCCCTATGCAGGTAGGCTACCGTAAATACCATGTTCAGCATGTCCTCGAGGAGCTGAATAGCTGTGCAAATCCGTTCATGAGCGGGGGTAGTGAAGAATCATAAAGGCCATGTTCTGAGTTTGTTTTTTTTTTTGGTGGGGAGCTTAATTGAAGGATGAAGCAGCTGAGACTTGGAAGACATATATCGATATTTCAAGACACCCACAATCGGAGACCGCCTGAGTAGACTTGGCTAGTCAACATGGTGGTATTTTTAAACATGGGTCTCACCTGAAAGTTTTCTTGCAGTTTTTTACTATAACCTGTTACAATATCGCGTATATTTGACTGTGATGCATTTGGTTTTAGGCTCTTATTTGATTGAGTATGATAAACGGGTATATTGAGTCTCGTGTATATTTGTACCCCAGGGTCATATTGTTGGCACACCACTCTCTCGCTCAATAACGAAAATCATGATATCAGATACTAAACGTGTGAAAACTTTGTGCAGATCAATAATCGAAAAAGAAATAAAATATAAGAAATAAACATTTGTTCCTTGAGCGATTGCATCAATTCTGGGAAAACAAAGAAAAAATATTTCATCCACTTAAAATATTTTCCAAGTAAAAGAAAATCATTTTGCTCAACATATTTTGGTATCAACTTTCTTTAAATATTAATTTGAAATTACGAACCTTATCCCTTACCCACACATCCCTGATTTAATATTTAACCCAGATATTCAATCTGATTTATATACTAGTAAAATCCATCATTGCCATTTCACATTGGAATATCTTAAAAATGTGTTATATGTTGGCGTTATACGCTTTGAAATGTTGATCCTCTGTTGACGTTTAATGTCATGGTTCGAAGCAGAAACCTTATGGCCGTTTTCCCGGAGTTTAACCAAACTGCTATCCGTTATCCGGTCATTCTTGCATTAATGGACGGAGCTGCTAATGGAACACTTGCTATTGGCGGATTATAATCGGCTTACATTTGCTTTATCGTTATCTGTCAATTTCGGCAGAGAAGAAATATCTCACAACCTTTCGCACTTCCTTTCTATAATTGTCCTCTTTTCTTTCTTTCTTTCTTTATTTATTTTTTTTTTCTTTCTTTTTTCTTTCTTTCTTTCTTTCTTTCTCTCTACCTCACTCTACCTCACTCTCTCCTCCTCTTCATTATATATTTTCTTTGTTCTTTCTTTCTTTCTTTCTTCACATTTCCTGTTTCTTATATCATTTCTTTCTTTTTTCTATACATTTCTCCTTCCTTCCTTCCTTCCCTCCTTCCTTCCTTTCTTTCTTTCCTTCCCGCTCTCTCTCTACCTCACTCTCTCCTGCTACTCTATCTCTTTGTGTGTGCCCATCTATCTATCTATCTATCTATCTATCTATCTATCTATCTATCTATCTATCTATCTATCTATTTTCATTGTGAATATCAAAGAGCATGTTCACATTTATCTATCTATCTATCTATCTATCTATATATATATATATATATATATATATATATATATATATGTGTGTGTGTGTGTGTGTGTGTGTATGTGTGTGTATGTGTGTGTTCATATATAGCTAGTTATCTTACTTTATTGTCATCTATTTATATATCTCAGTCTATTTTCATCTATCTCTGTTCATATCTAGCTAGTTATCTTAGTCTATTCCTATCTATCTATCTATCTATCAACTTCTAATGACATCTGGAAAGTCCTGAATCCATGTCTTTTCATCCACACGTCTAGGAACCAATCTTGAAATTAACTACTTTGAATGGATAAAAAACAGGAAGCTACTGCCCTATCGTACTTAAGAGGCTATGGATATTCAAAGATACCAGAAAAAGTAAGTTGTGAAGAGACATGGCATTAAGAAAATTATCAGTCTCTTGAGAGCATTACATCAACTTTTCAATTGATTAAAATTTAGCGTTCCAGCTATGAGGCCCATGTTTGAATCTCACCATGGCCGATTTACCAAGGAGGTGATTCTTGATAATAACGGTCTAGGTATTCCTTTGTGCGGTACTGTTGGAATGTGTTTGAAAACCATAACACAGTTTGCCTCAAGCCTTGTGAATGAAATTGGGTAGAGGAAACTGTTTGGAAGGCATCGACGGACGCCCAAGCATGAATCATAAGTCATCGTGGCTGAATTTCGAGCGTACTGGGCTTTTTAAACTTCTGATCACGTCAGATTATGCCCACTCCCACCCTCTCTCTCTCTCTCTCTCTCTCTCTCTCTTTCTTCTCTCTCTCTCTCTCTCTCTATATATATATATATATATATATAGAGAGAGAGAGAAAAAGAGAAAGAGAGAGGGAGAGACATAATCTCTCAGAAATTTATCTAAAGTTTGCTCGGCTACTTACTGTCTAAACTACGCGTTGTTTGTACGGGTATTGATGATACACAAATGTTCCAGAGTTGGCGTCCGCAGCAAGGACTAGCTAAGCACCATAGCAAACCTGTATACTAAGAAATTAGGTATCATTATCATATAAATGTTTCTCTCTCTCTCTCACTCACTCTCTCTCTCTCTTTCTCTCTCTCTCTCTCTCTCTCTCTCTCTCTTTTTAACTTACCATTCTACTCTTTTCCCATCTTAATTAATTCCTTTTCTATTCTCACTCTCTTGAGTGAATTATGCCAAACTCTCTCGCTCTCTCTGTTCCCTTATGTCCCCTTCTTCTCTTCCCTCCATCTCTCACTCTCTCTCTCTCTTTCTTTTTTTATCTAAAAGTCTCTGTTGTCTTTGTTCTTTTTAATCATTTCACTCCCAAGCAAAGCGATAACTCCACTAAAACGCAAATAGTTACTGACAGTGAAAGAAAATGAGAACACATTAGTGAGGAGAAAGGAAATAAAATAACAGAATTCAAGAAAAAAATTGATGGCGACTGATTTAATTAACAACTTATCTGATTAACAGGCGCTGTAGCAACACCAGAAAAAAATCTCAAAAACATAACGTTTTTTTATAATTATAAATATATAATGTATTATTATAAATATATGATATATTATTTAAATTATAAATATATAAGTTATTATTTATAGAGTATTTGTTTCGGTTAATAGGTGAAGATAGGCTCAGCTATCGTCCGGCCCGAACACTTCCATATCTATTGAACAGGAGTAGAAATTCATTGCTTATTTCATGTTCAGGATATGGGTTACCGGTTATCTTTCTTTTTTTGTCTTTCTTCTGACAGGGCCGCAATGATTTAACTGTCTTAACGTTTTGGAGATCGGACTAACTAGTGGCTGCGACTTTCCATTCGGGTTGGCAGTTTGCTGGTCGCTGCTTCCGATTGGCCATTAGGAAGCCGAATTCTTTGGTAGCGCTGCTCTGATCAGCAGTTGCATAATATCTGGGTATTCATAGTGCCATGTCACGCGTGGGTAGGTGTCCCTGAATGTATTTTCGGTGGACAACCCTGCTTGAACAGACGGACGCCCAAGCATGAGGCCACACTATGCTTTGTTATCAACTATGCTCCGGCTGATTTATATTACCGCTGACGACAGATAGTGACAGTTACAGTGGTCTTTTCTCTATCTCTCCTTCAAACGAATAACATAGAAATCACAACAAAAAAAATACAGCTAAACCAATAAGCAAAAAATCGCCTTTCTTTCACTAATATTAGCAAGAAATTTAAATGCATTGTCAGTCGCTATCTACTGTCCTGATTACTCTCTTCTCTTTCTGTTGATCGTTAATGTTTCTGTTTCTAATTCTTCCGCGCTTAGTGTTTAATATCCCACCCATGAGGAATATATGTGGCACAAGGCCGAGTTTAAAGTGGGTTTCTCCGAGCCCGTAGGCTCGGCCAAAAATATAGCCTTTGAACCCATCTAGACAGGTTCAGGGCCTGTCTACCTCCCCGGACGAAACCTTGCCCTTCGGCAAAGCTTCGTCCGGGTTCCTCTCTGGAAAAGCAGAGAGTTTGACAAACGTCGAGAATGTATCTCGACGCAACTGAACACTCTGTAAGCCCTAAGACGGTAGAGAAAACATCAGTGAGGAGAAAAAAGAGGATCCAAGAAAGACAGAACATGATTGATGATTTCTATTCTTTACTATCTCTCTCTCTCTCTCTCTCTCTCTCTCTCTCTCTCTGTGTGTGTGTGTGTGTGTGTGTGTAACTACCTTTGCACTTTTCCTTTTTTTCGTTTTTCTTTTTTTATTTATTTATTTACTTATTTAAACATTTTATTTTGTTAATATTTTAATTCTTATTTTATGTTCGAAAATGCCTATCTTTCTTCTTCTTCTTCTTCTTCATCTTCTTCTTCTTCTTCTTCTTCTTCTTCTTCTTTCCATATATTTCCTGGAGCTGTAGAGCTATGTCTCTCTACACGTCTCTCTTTTGATGCTCTAAGTATTTTTGTTCATATTTTATTATCTCCCTTTGTTCTTGTTCTTACATCCATTCTTTCAAACTAGACTAATAGGTTGCTCACTGTTTCCCTCGCATAGAATGCCTTCAATTCTTCCTGCGAGTGTTAAATTCTCCAGGCCCTCTTTCCTCGTTATATGTCCCAAACATTTGTGTCTTTCTTATTGTATTTTTATTTTTTAGTAATTCTTAATTTTATATCAAAATATCTCATTTGTAAACATTCAAAGCGCACAATTTTTATAAGCAACTCAAATGTGATTAAATCTTCCACGACTGATATCAACGAAGCTTTAAAAAATCAAAAAAGAAAAAAAAAGTAGTTAGTAAATACGTTATTTTATACTGTACTCAATAATATTACTATGTCTACTAGTTTGATTATATTGAAATGTGGCATTACTGGCATATCAGGTTGAAATACCGGTTCTAGTAAGATCAGCTAAGTTAAGCAACATCGTGACTGATCAGTATCTAAATGGATGACCGTTTTGGAGATACGGCTCGGAATCGAAAATCGGAGAGCGGCGTTTCAATTTCAGTCGAGTTCCTTATATTTACTTACATACAAAAACCATTGGAAAAAATAAAAATCACCCTCCAGCTATGGGTTAATTAGTAGAAATTATATAAGTAAAAAAAATCTTGCAATCGAAAATATTTTCTGGCTTTAAATAACGCACAATGTGTTTACAAATCAATCAATGACACTTTTTTTTTTTAGACCGATGTGTGTTTTTTATATATATATATATATATATATATATATATATATATATATATATATATATATATATATATAGACCAAGGTCATTTTTTTTTGCAAAAATGAAGCAATCGCTTCAATGTAAGCATCAGGAATATATTAAATATTTAGCTTTCAAGCATTTCTTGGTTTTGCTGTAAATGTATTTGATTTTTGGCTTTCCTTGTCTACAAGCATACTACGTGAATTTTTGCAATTGCTATAAATGAAATGTGATTTTATCGTCACCATTTTCTTTATTAAAATATTTCTAAATTTATTACAGCAATTATTGATTTAACTCTAATTCGACCTTTGAAAAGAGTTGACAGTTTACAGACAGCCGCTGTAAATAAATGTATTTTCACGATATTCTAAGTAAAATTAGGTAATATTTTAAAAACTAAATTAAATATTCATTAAATTAACTAATTTTCGTCGAATTTTTATTATATAAAGTCGACTTTATTTTTTCAAGAATTTTAATTACAGATATTTTTTCTGTCAGCACATCAATTTAATTAGGAATCACATAAATTGGCATTAAAATAAGCTCAAATGCTGATTTAAGTACGAAATAGTAATTTTTATGACTAAATTTATGAGATCCTGTTCCAAAGATAATTAGATTATGGCAATAACTACAAGAACTTTTATTTAAAAATTTCAATGATCAGTTTTTTCTTTATAAATTGGCCGAATTCTGCTCCGTGTTCTATTCATTAGCTTATTTATCTGACGCATTTAGTTGATTGTTCGATAGAATTTCAATTGATTCGATATTAGTTTGGTAGTGCTATATTAATGAATCTACTGAGGTCTTCTGGTATTTCGCCGCTGTCATATATTTAATTTATTACTTCGATAACGGTATGAATCTCAAATTCGCCTGACGTCGTCAGAATTCCGATAAATATTGTGTTTTATCATGCTGCCAGTGCTGACCTAGCTACAGATTTTAATATATTATGCATTCTTCAATAGTTTTTATATTGTTGCTTACTCTCACGTAAACGATTTTCTATGTGTGTAGTAAATTTTCTTTTTTTTTTATTATGATCGTCCTCTATTTCGATTTTATACAACCTGCCGAAAAACGTGTTTTTTGTCCTGCTGTTTCTTTAATATTTTTGTGCATTCCTAACCTTATCTGACGCGTTCGGAGGAGGAGAGTCGAATTCATCAAAAAATGGAAAATAGTTTTCTTCACTGCAAATGATTTATTATATCATATCCAAGTATTTTACAACAAATTAGAGCTGATTACATAATATTTCAAGCTCAGTTTAGGTTTATATTTCGTAATCATGCAATGAGGTAAGGTGACATAAACCGTAGATTTGTTTGCGGAATATCTGTTTCATAATTACAGTGAAATCATAAAGGTTTTTTTTTTGTCAAAAGCATTTTATTTTTGGTCATATATTAATTTAAAAAAATCTTTTTTACAGGCTTTATTTTTTAAATAGAATAAGAGCATTCTAAATTTCAGAATTTCACTATTGCTCATCAAAATGACTTGAAGAAAGCGAGCTAAAAACAGCAATGGAATAGAGAGGTACAAAGCCTAAACAAAATAGCTCCAGTTTGTTCATTTTATGAAAATTAGCATTGCAAAGTATTCTCAAATGCACCAATAACAAAGGAGAAAATGAAATATACCTAACAACAAATCGAATATAGCATTAAAATTTATATTATTTTTATCTATTTGTTATGTAACTGTCAACAATGTTTCTGTAATGTTTCTGTAAATATTTCTTGTAATAAATTCTTAATAAATATTATTGTTATTATTTTACTTAAGTGTAAGGTAGTCCTACATTTGCAATTCCTTACAGCTAACCATGAAAATAAATGCTATTCAAAACTGCTTAAAACCTAAAAGCGCGTATTGCCGTAAAATTATATGTTAAATCCTCCGCAGAACGCATCATATATTCTACACAATTTCTTGTGGTTTCTGCTGTCTCCTTGTGAATGTCACCTGTCATCCATTTTTTTTCTTTCTTTGAAAAAATTCCAAAGTTTCATATTTTTTCTGCTATTCTATGTGAGCAACGACGAGGTTTTAGAGAAAATGAAAACAAAAAGAAAACTTATACTTAACATCAGGGAGAAGCAGTTTAAGTTTCTGGCGCACGTAATGAGGAAGGAGGGCTTGGAAAATCTGATACTCACGTGACATATAAAATGAAAGCGAGACAGAGGAACGCAACACGTAACATGAGCTTGAATAAATGGATGGTAAAGCAGAGTTTGGAAGAAATAACAAAAAGACAAAAGATATAAGGAACAGGAAGATGTGGAGGGACATAATCGTCTACGTCCTGAAGGGGCATGGCACATAAAAGAAAATATGTAAAACTTACCTATTTCTTCATCGGCGTTTCTAATGTGGGTGCATATATTACTATTATCAGATTAGCTACCCTTTCGGTTTTACCTAAATGATTTTATTTACCCGCATAAAATTATCGCTATCTTTGTTGCTATTGTCACAACGTTGCGGACTCTGTTATCTCTTGCCTACATCAGGTGCTTGTCGATCCACGTAACATTCAGAGATTGTTTTAACTGAACCCTTTATTTAATCTACGAGGATAGATAATTATCGTTCCACTGATCATATTAAAGGATACCTTGTGTAGTTCCTATTTAGAACTGCTCAGTTATATCGCGCCCCTTTTTCCAATGAGTCAAAGTACAAACCGCCCAGCCCAAGTATTGAATTCATACTTACTATATCATGAACCAACGATTTAGCTTCCGAAACTCTATAATGGCAAAAATGAAGACAAATGTCCGTATGTAAATAATATAAATCATACCACCTCACCACAGAAATTCAAACAGAAAAACTGTCAGACAATTATCAATACAATAAATGTACTTCGGCTTGCTTTTATCTAATAGTAGTCCGACTCCTCTTTCATTTTCTTTCTTCCTGCATATATGCGTCTGTGATCGTCGCTTATAAAACAAATACCTATTTGTAAGTTTGCATGTTTATGTGTTTAATTTTATGTGTTTGTGTATTTGTTCTATAGCGCGAAGTGAAAATAAACAAACACAGCTTAAGTTTTCAAAGTCGGTTAGCTGATTCCGTTTCTCTTACACCCCCTCCAGACGCACAGAGCACGGCGCTCACGCACACGCGCGAAAGAGAGACTGTCCCTCTCGGGGCTTATTTTAATCCCGACGCGCACGCTACTGATAACACCCTGTCTCGTTATACCAAATGACCTTTCATATGACATACATTTCCAAGCGCTAAGTCAGTGGCTTGTCAACCTGCCATTACGAGTTCCGAAGCGTTCGGTTCACGATTTTTTTAAAAACACGCTTCGGTTCTTATTTGGTTAACCCATTGTTGTTTGATTTTAAAAAAAAACAAAGAAGAAATATAGCTATTTACTAGGCTAAGTCACAATCATGCCATTCTAAGGCACCCGGTGAGGATCAAACTCACTACTTGCCTGGTAGAAGGATTCGTTATCACCGTGAATTAGCATGCAAGTAAATATCAGTTCCAGACATCTTGATATACACAAATTCGATTTAGTGTGGCATAAGGTCATATGAGTGAAGTGGAGATCGAATTCAATAAAGTAACCTCTGTTCTTCCAAAATAGCTTCTGAGTCATTGCTCTAAGCCAATCACACTTGAACCAATTATATTAATATATTATGTATAATTTTTAGAAGAATCATTAACATTTCAAATTGTGATCAGACAACTGAAAACTTCATTCGTGTTTTTCTTAAACTTATCATAGGGTTTCGGCCAATATATCCTTCTTGAATAAATAAGATAATGTTCTTTCTGAGATGCGGTATTGTAATTATTTATATAGTTCAGACTGTTGTCCTCATCTTTATTGTTCAAGACGTTTCGGCCGTTGTACACTCCGGCCTTCTTCAGGTGGTTGGAATTTCGAACTGAACCCTTTCTTTCATCCACCGCGGTAGATTGTTCTATTTCCATGTGCTATGCCACTTCCGGATGTCTCAGTTACATCCCTTTAATTCAATTCTCTAAGTTTTTGTTCAAGTCAGGTATTTACCTCACAACTCTTTGGGTCAAGTCACTGGATCCAACCAATGCTTTTATCCACTAGGCTATGTGTCCATAAGGTTATCAGTGTAGAAATTCTTGGGACCTAATGTCTCAATAACCATTTTTACCAGAGCTCATATTTGAATTTTGTTGCTATTCATTGCTTTTCTTTAGCACTCCTTATTACTGGTTCCCATATTGTATTCATTTCTATACTTGGCCGGTCAGGAGATTTTTTTGTGGCCTAGCATATGCTATGTATCATTATACTTAAAAGAAATTGTTTAAATATAACTTAAAGAAGACAGAAATTCTGTCTAAATATTTTTTTTAATATTGTCAAATACTGCGTTTTTACTTTTCTTTATCTTTTCTTAAATCGCCCTCTTCTCTTAACTGCTAATGATAATAATAATATTTTTTTTTACCTTTAATAAAAATGGAAAATGTCATGATGCCATTTCTGACCTTAGGTCTCTGTTTAGGACTCAGAAAGAAATGAGTATACACTAGAAATCAAAGGAAAAATAATAAATAATAATAATAATAATAATAATAGTTTCTTTTTTTAATAATAAAGACGAATGCAACCGACCAGATACAGAAGCGATGGCAAGATAAACCGCTTCATGGCCAATACTCTGCCCGTACCAAACAAGCTGACGTAGTCAAAACCCGTACCCATCAGTGGCTATGTAGTGCAGGGTTGAAAGCTGAAACTGAAGGTTTTATCCTTGCTGCACAGGACCAATGCTTGTTAACTAGGAATTATCAAGCACATATACTAAAATATTGTGTCAGCCCAAAATGCAGATTCTCTGATAAATATCCAGAAACGATTGATCATCTTGTATCAGGTTGCACGATATTAAAACCCACTGATTATAAAACCCGGCATGACAGAGTGGGCCAATATCTGCACTGGAAAATCTGCAACTTCTACGTGAAGGAAACTGAAAGTAAACGGTATGAACACTACCCAGACCCGGTTACGGAGATAGGACCAGTTACAATTCTATGGGACTACACAATAAACACTGACAGAACAACCAAAGCCAACCGTCCAGATATTGTTATTAAAGACCACAAACAAAAACGGTGCCTCCTTATTGATATGGCAGTCCCTGCTGACTGCAATGTATCTTTGAAGATATTCAAAAAGCTGTCAAAATACAAGGACCTTGAAATAGAAATCTCGAAAATGTGGCATATGGGAACATCAGATTTTCTTCCAACAGTAGGTTGCCATTACTTTCTGCAATAGACCAGTTGCCATCCAAGGCTATAGAAGCCAGTCTGTTCTGCTATTTACCCACAAAGCCCTTTGTAAGCCTTTCTTTTGGAATTGCCGTCACTTGCCTTGGGTTGTAGCTCGGATTGAGAAATCGGCGAGTGAAGTTCGAATTCCTTTTGCATTCATTCCATTAACTTATGTCAGTCAGTTATGTACCATGCGTGATACACACTTAGGCCATCATGTATTTTTCGATACATAACTGACGAGGCAGATTTTTTCACGCAGTAGGTTGCCATTTCTTTCTGCGACAGACCAGTTGCCATCCAAGGCTATAGAACTCGGTCTGTCCTGCTATTTACCCATAGCTATAAATTGCAGGTACTTTTTATATAAAAATGAAATGTTGATATTTTTTACTATAAAAATATTTTTTATACTTCATAGTGTTTCATTTTTGCCTGGAGGTTTACTCTCTGACCATAGCTGAGAACCTAACAGGTGCTATGATCCCGATAATAACTCGTAATAGAATATAGAGATAATTGTTAATAAAAGCAACAATAGCAAATATTGTTACAAATTTGGTTTCATTAATTCGATACAAACAAATGGGGCAGAATATATTTGAACCAAAATACAAGAGGAAGCGAAATTTAAATTTCCTTAAAAGACACGAGTTTTGAGTTTGACTAAAAAGTGAACATGAATAACTTTTCTATAACATACGTTGTATAATGCAACAATTTCTTTTATTACTATTCCTTTCTGTAATGGGGTTTAATGGTCGTCGGATTTAAAGTAGAGTAACAGCCACATTGGACAGGAAATTGTGGCGAGCCATAATCGCCAACGTCACGAAAGAGCACGGCAAATAGTAGAAGAAAACTACAATTAAGTTAAAAGGTAGAAGGTGCTTGCTTCACTAACCTTGGGGTTGGGAAGGGAAAGGTTTCCTATCTTGAGAATCCAGAATTCAAAATCCTGTTCTGTTCCAAGTTTCGAATTTGGACATTAAGCGCCAGCAGGAAATACGCAATTATCTCAGCCACTAGGCACACTCATGAATGAAAAGTCGTTAATGAAAGAAAATAGGTAAAAATAACATGTTCATAAATGGAATGAAGGAGAAAGAAAGAAAGAAAGAAAGAAAGAAAGAAAGAAAGAAAGAAAGAAAGAAAATGGAGAAATGGCAAAAGAAAGAAAATAAAGAAATGACAAAAGAAAGAAAGAAAAAAATGGATTCATGAAGAAAGAAAGAAAAAAAAGAAAGAAAGAAAGAAAGAAAGAAAGAAATTGGGAAATGGCAAAAGGAAGAAAATGAAGGAATTGCAAAAGAAAGAAAGAAATATGTAAAAATAAAATGTTCATAAATGGAATGAAGGAGGAGAAAGAAAGAAAGAAAGAAAGAAAGAAAGAAAGAAAGAAAGAAAGAAAGAAAGAAAATGGAAAAATGGCAAAAGAAAGAAAATAGAGAAATGACAAAAGAAAGAAAGAAATTGGGAAATGGCAAAAGGAGGAAAATGAAGGAATGGCAAAAGAAAGAAAGAAAGAAAGAAAGAAAGAAAGAAAGAAAGAAAGAAAGAAAGAAAGAAAGAAAAGAAAAGAAAAGAAAAGAAAAGAAAACAGAGACATTCCAAAAGAAAGACAGTGGAGAAATAACAAAAGAAAATGGAATAATGAAGAAAGAAAGAAAAAAAAAGAAAGAAAAAAAAGAACAAGTACAAATGATGTGATAAAGAAGGAAAAAAAACAAAAGGAGGGAGTAAAAAGTTGAGAGATGGCCTGTATAAATGTTTGAAAAAAAAATGATAAACCTGATAAATGTTAGTCTGGAAATGTCAACAGACTACCGAACAAGAGGCACACGTGTTCGGCACACGTTGCTAGGAATCCTTTAATGAATGACAAAATAAAAGGAATATCAGTGGTAAAGGGAAACTGTAGAGATCACCGAGAAGGAAAAGAAAAAAAAATATGTATGCGTCAACAGGAGTTTAGATCCGAAGAATTATTAAAAAGGATAAAAAAAAAAACTAAAACGCTCTGTTTCGGATTAAAAGCTTAGACTTTTAAAATAAATAACTGCTGAAAAAACACACACACCACACAACGACACTTCTTTGAGCAAAGATGTCTACTCAGCAGTGGGAGATAATTTCATATTTTTCCCCACCAGAGGTCGGCTTTTATGCACAGGCAAAATCCTAGATTTCGAAAGATGAATTTTAAAGCAGACAGACATTGGCGCAACAACATCTTCTTTGACGTATTTGAGGTTGTTCTATGCTGAGTAACTACCTGCTCAGTTGGTCGATGTAATAGTTGGCAAGTAAAACTATTTAATAATTTTTATTTACTGCAAGTTCAAATGGGTAAAACGCTCTTATGAAGATTGCGGTGCCTCAGTTTTTTCAGATAAAACGACGTTTTCAGTTTTTCTTAAAATATCACCAAATGAAATTTCTCTTTTGATAATTATTAGGGCTTTAAATGAAGAAATGGAGATAAAATAAAATAGAGTTTTTTCATTTTCTCTCAAACTTCGTCATTGCACACATGTTCGGTCCATGGTATCATCAGCATCCTTCTATAGAACGATATTTCTCTTGCTTCAAATATCTTCTTCATCTTTGATGACATATAGAAGTACTGATGTTGCATAACAGTTCAGTACTCTTTTCTTTGTTTCTAACAATTTTTTTCTGTTTCTGACTACATTGCTTTGTGCGACAAACTAATATTATTTTGTGCACATCTTTCAAAAAGAATCTTTTGACTTCCTATTTCATATATCAGCGTTTGAAATTTGTCATGAGTTCTTCTTCTTCTTCTATACGCCGTGTCCCGTGGGAAGACACATCCATGTCTTACTCTCCTTTCTATCTTTTTATATCTAGTGAATTCCTCTCGTAGATTTGCCCGCTTTTGAGAGGGCAATAATAGATTCCTTAAGTGGTTCTGATGCGTGTTTGTATCCTTTCATCTGGTTAGTGACTTGAGTGGCTATTTCAAGCCTTTTTTATACTGTATGAGGCTTTCTGAAATATTCTAGATTTAATTTAAGCTGTTCTAGGATTCTCTAGAATATTCTTCTGAGTGTATTGTAAAATAGTTTTCAATATTTTGTCAAAAGCTCTTTAAATTTACCAGTTTAATCATTAGAATGCGATATCTGAGTCACTTTTTTTGCATAGACTTTTTTTTCCTGAATCTCATTTATAACCAAATTTATAATTATCAATAGAATACCTTAGGGTGAATAAACTTTTTTCCTAGGTGGTCGGGAAGGGGTCTTTATATTAGTAAGATTAAAAATTATTTTAACCCCAAAAACAATAGACAAAAAATATTTTTTAGTAAAAAAATCAGGTGAGTCACTTTTATCGAACAGCACTGTACTTGAAAATTAGTATTCTAAATTCTTTATCGACCAATGATTCTGTTTTAATATTTATTTTAACATAGAGTGGTACAAAGTCAAATAACTGTAAGAAGAGAGTATTGCTCCAAATGAGAATCAGAAATAGAAACAGCAGACTAGATATCACTGCAATATGCAATGCATGGACAAATGATATAAATGTACAACAATGGATTCCGAGTAAAATTTCCTAACACGAAACAATGGCCGTAATTTCCTAGAGCTTGATTCAATTTAATCACGCCATTTTGTGTCAGTGGAAACCGAGAAACCAGAAAGCACAATGAGTTGCCCTTCCTTCAGCATGGATCGTAAAACCAGCTATGTTGTTGAAAGACAAAAATGATTCTTTATGTGTTAACGCTTTTACTTTATTGTTGTGGTTATCTTAATCCCAAGTTAAGGAAAGACCATTTCCTTTTAAAAGATGATTTCTTTTCTAATCCTCTTTTAAACGACTAACATGCATTAACTATTTTATGAAAATACGCTATACAATATACGTATACTGTCGCTATACAATCTCATTCCCACAAAAAAAAGTATAAAACTTTCCATGACCTTTACTCTGTTACCTTATTCTTTGAACCACCTCGAGGTAAAATTTATCTCCGGGTGGGTTCCGACGACGAACCAAACCCCTATTTTGCAAGGACAAGCCGAGTGTCGTCTGCGATCCTACGATAACAATGAGGACCCACTGCAGAGTTAGGCAGAGGATCGCTCTTGTCGACCAGCAGGAGAGAAAAGAGACCAGCTGCTTGCCTAGGCCATAAACATTCGTGCCTGTTAGAAATTTGCCTAATTGTACTCTCGTGTTGTCTACGCTTGCCTGCACCATTATTCGCTGGACGTCTCGCTTTCTCTGTCTCTGCCTTCAGTTCAACGTCCATCTATCCAGCCATCCGTTACTTGTCAATTCGTGTTCATTTGTTTGTACGTTCATCGGCTTGTTTGTTGGTGTTGTCGTTGTTATAGAATTATGGAGGGGGAACATGATATTCTCTTCTACTCATTTATTTTCATTTCGTTTATGTGTTACGAGTTTTGTTTATATATATATATATATATATATATATATATATATATATATATATATATATATATATATATATATATATAGCGATTTAGGGCACCTCGAGGCGATGTAATGGTTAGCAAGCTTTTCACGCTAGAACAATTACGACTGATTAGTGAGTTCGATTCTCACTGGGTGCCCCCACTTTCGGCCTTGTGCCACATTTATGCTACGCTTGGAAAATATATAATTAGACCTGTAGACGCAATAGAAGAAAGTTGAGAAAAATGTTTAAAATCGAAATTTTCGAACCCAATTCTGTCCTTTTGCTTACAATGATGTTCACACTTTACAAGGCCCCAGAGCCACTTGAGTTAGAGGCTTACAGAGTACTAGGTACAGTTTGTGCGGATACGTGCGTAAGATAATGTTTAGGCCTAAACTAGAAAAGATTAAGATTGTGGTCTTAAGGAAAGCATTCTCTTGGGAGTCAGTGCCACAAAGAAACGGTTCCTGGGAAGAAGCTGACCGAGTAGAACATACATCTCACAATTGGAATACGAATGGAATTTGGGTGTTTCGATGTTCTTTTTCGTATTTTTCCATCGACCTACAATATTTTTCATTCTGTTAGAAGTATACATGGACTAACTTCCTCTCCTTATCTCTCTTTCTCATTCACTCCTACCTCTATCTGTCTCTCTCTCTCTCTCTCTCTTTGTATCTTTCTAATTCTCTTGCTTTCTCACTCTCTCTCTCTTTTTCATTCTCTATCTTTCTCTCTCTCTCTTTGTGTCCTTCTCATTCTCTCCCTTTCTCTCTCTCTCACTCTCTCTCTGTCATTGTATCTTTCTCATTCTCTATCTTTCTCTCTCTCTCTTTGTATCTTTCTCATTCTCTCTCTTTCTCTCTCTATTTGTATCTTTCTCACCCTCTCTCTCTCTCTTTGTAGCTTTCTCACTCTCCCTCTCTCTTTGTTTCTTTCTCATTCTCATTCTCTCTCTTTGTATCTTTCTCATTCTCTCTTTTCTCTCTCATTTTCTCTTTCTCTCTCTCTCTTTCTCATTCTCTCTCTAACTATATATATATATATATATATATATATATATATATATATATATATATATATATATATATATATAATCATAACATCTATTAATGTACGTAAAATTATATAATTTAACAGTTTTTTTTTTTTTGTTGTTTTTTTTGCATTCTCGCTTGTGGAACTCTCTTCTGTCTTCTCACTTTCCAATCAACTTTGATCTACAAAAATTTAATTTTTTTATCTTCTGTCTTCATAATTACCGTTTTTTTTATTGTTCTCTCTGCTTAATAATGCTTTCCTTTTTCTCATATTCTTCTCTCCCACTAAGTAACACCCTTGTTTCTTTGTGGCTTTATTGCATTAATTGACAAAAATATGTCAATTTGAGCAGAATTTTGTCAATAAGAGTGCTCAATTGATATCTAGCTCAATAATTTCTTAATTGTCCTAGGCTCGGTCGTCTTATTCTACAATATTTTATTTTTAAGGAATGGTTGGCCTTGCTCTCTATTCCAATCGTAATGTACAATATACATAGACTCTAGTGAATCTCGGTTTATGGCATACTTTTTTTAAGCATTTCACCCCAAGCAACGCGAAAACCCACTATCACGCAAAAGGTTACAGAGAGTTGGAGCGAAAGAAAAGAGGATTGATAAAGGAAAGGATGAAGAGAAGGGTAGGCGATAAATCAAGGCATCTGGAGACGTCGATTGACATTACATGTGAATAGTTGGGGATTATAGCTATCAGGATAACAAGAAATGGAGAGAAGTGCGAAACATGAAGCTAGAGTAGAAGAGGCGGCTAGATTTAACAGTTTCAACAGTGAAAGGGTGAGAGAAAGATGCCAGACTAGTTGAATGTTTAAATTCATGAAATCTGGGAACCAGCGAAAGCAGCTCATCAGAGCAGTTACCGTGAACGTATTTGTAAAAAAAAGACAGAGGGAGGCAACAGCTCGTCTGTGAGAGAGCGACTGCAGACGAGATGCCAGATCAGGGCCAATTAAATTTCATATCCGTCTCTGGATTTTATCAAGGACCTTGAGACAAACAGAAAGGGGCTTCAGACCATGGCAGCAATACTCCATGCAAGGGCGAATTGTTGATTTGTAGATTTGAAGGATCGACTTCGGCGAGAAA